CAGACACACACAGACACAGACAGACGGACGGACGGACGGACGGACAGACAGACACACACACACACACAGACAGACAGCCAGACACGCAGACACGCGCATGCGTGGTGTTACTTTAGCAAAGATGTGTACTGGTCAGTCACGCATCCTGTGAATCAGAGCGCATCCGGGAACAACACCTTCTCAACGGCGCATGTTCACACATTCTGCTGTGAGGGAGTCCAAACGTGATCGTAAAGATCAAACTCTGCGTTAACGCGACATCACGGTGGTACCTGCCCGGAACGGAGTAGCCCGTAAAATGCCAGGTTTGTGGCTTGACCTAGTTGCTATGACGCTTTGTTGCAGGAATCCGTTGAAGCGCCCCTCACCACATCAGCATGTGCAAAGGATCTCTTCGCTGGACTCGCTGCCGATGCACATGTCCAGCCTGCTTGCCTGCTTTTATTTGTTGTGTTAAATTTTGTTGTAGAAAACCCTTGGTAACAAGGTGTGATGCGCACACGCACTCACCAACCGCGCGATTCCCAGCCTGCTCTTCCTCTGTCGGTAAATAGTCCAAACGCTTGTCGCTGAATCTATAACTGAACATACATAATTATTTCAAGTGAATCCTCATGTCGACTGATGGGCAGTCTAATTAGCTTGCATCAGGATCTTCTTGACCCTGCACAATATGTGCACTGCTCAGGCGTCGATGGATCTACACGAGAGCTACGGTTGGTTGGTTGGTTGGTTGGTTGGTTGGTTGGATCACACTGATCACTGCTGTAAGCACAAAGTGGCACGACTGAAACACTATTATGAGGCAACATCATTCTAACTAGCACCTGCTCCCCCTTCTCACCTCTCCATCTCCCTCTCACTCCCTCTTGTGGTGGGCAAACATGTCCTTTTATGCCAAGAAGCGCCAGTGGGAACCCTGCAGCATTTCAATTGCTGGAGAGAAAGACAACGGCTGGTATGCCGCAGTATTCCCTAGTCAACGTGCAAGCTTTTTTTGTCGGAAGAACACCCGTGCCCGGTCAGAGGCAAGACCGACGATCCAGGGCACGAACAACGCGCCTTTGAACTGGGACGCCATCAGTCAAGGATCGCTGTGCCTCTGCAAGGCAGGCAGTCCATGAAGAATTAGTGAGGACAATACCCTCGCCCTCCCTGTTCTTTTACTTTACACATGTCTTTTGCTGTAGTTGTTGCAAGCACTACGGACACGGACCGTGCATACACTCATGTACAAGGGGAAACATGTTGGTCATGTCTCTCAATCCCGGCGGCACAAGGAAAATTGCCATCTGCCCATGCTCTTCTCTCGGAATCCGCCAGTGCGCTGGGGTGGGAGTCGGTATCATGTCTGAATCCCACCAGAACAGGGGCGAAACATTTTGGCCGTGGTGTCCTGGCTTTTTCCTGGTTGTCTCTTCGTGATCTCATTGGTGGTCGTCATGATAGTGGTGGTGGTCGTGGTAGTCCTCGTCGTCTCGACCGTTGTGGTCGTGGTCGTTGTGGCCGTAATGGGTGTGATGGTGCTCTGACTCTGTTTGGGGAGCTTCGCTGGCACAATGTTGTTGTGTTGTGTGCTGTCTCCTGGGCCCTTCTATGTTTCAGATAGTGGTCTGGTGCTCGAGTAGTGGTCTTGTCTTCTTGTGTCCTTATTTTAAAAAGTTTAAAGTTTTAAAAATCCTAAAAAAAACCTGGAAATTTCAAAAATTTTGAAAAGTTTTAAATTTTGCAAAATTTTAAAATTTTCAAGTTTTGAAAAATTTCAGAAATTCTAAAAATTTTAAACATTTTAAAAATCCTAGAAATTTTTAAGAAACCTAGAAATTTAAAAAAACAATTAAAAATCCTAAAAATTTTAAAAATTTTGAAAAGCTTTAAATTTTCAAAATATCTAAAATTTGTTAAAATTTTAAAATTGCTAGGGTTTTTAAAATTTCTTAAATTTCTAGGCTTCAGCCTTGGTCGATTGTGGGGGGGTAGTGAAGGATGAACGAAAAGGGGGTGAACGAAAACCCCTTCAATGTGAAAACTTTTGAGTCTGAGTAGATATCTTGGCATGAGCGAAATTTAAGTTGTGAGATTTTGGGACGTCTTAAACCTTCCTATGGTATTGCTGCTGTACTACTACAGTACTACTACTATGTATGCATTTTACTGCTGTACTATAACTGAACAAGTACGGTACTGTTATTGCACTATGCTTAAGTTACTAGTTTACTATACTACTTCTTCACTGCTGCGGTTCAACATTTCTGAAGCTGGCTCGCACTGCGCATCAACAGCGATGGCTCACACTGCATCCGCATGGTGTATACTTTGGCCCTAGTATTGGAAGCCACATGGCTTGCTACACACAGAAGCTCGGTGAGGGTGAGCCAACAACCTCATCGGTTACCAAACCTCACCCACTCAAGGTGAGGAGAGCAACATATCGATACCAAGTCCTCACGCATGGAGTCTTGGGGAATCACCGGATTTCATCTACCGGCCACAACGACATGGGTCTGTGGTATGCACCCTTAAACCCATCGTCATCCTTACGATCGACATCACCATCGACATCTTCCTCAACACCATCACAATCATGTTAGTCCCTGCTCGCTTCCGGTGATCCGTTTTCCATCCGGCTCACAAGAAAGTCTGGAGTGTACAGGTGCCTCACTGGCACGATTGCAGCTCAAGCAGCGACTCCCGGGTGGGCGGGAGGGATCCAAAAGCTGCGAAACAGAGATGAACATGAGTGTCATGTTAATCCCTGCTCGCTTCGGTGATCCGTTTTCCATCCGGCTCACAAGAAAGTCTGGAGGGTACAGGTGCCTCACTGGCACGACTGCTGCTCAAGCAGCGACTCCATCCTTGCAAACCGGCCAACAGCTAAGATACAGCCAAAGTGGCGTAGCAGCTAGTGTGCTGGGGAATAGCGGATCAGTAACGGAAGAAGAGAAGAAGCGGTGAGCACGTTCTCAAGGGCTCGGTGTGTAAGCTTCGGGAGGACGGACTCGGCGGAGACCTCCTGCAGGTAGTAGGCTAGGGTGGCCTGATTCTGCAGACGCATAGCCCATTGTATGTCAGCGATGGGCTTCTTCCTGCGAGAGCCTGCGACTGCTCCTCCGCCTCTCAAACATCCCGGCGTAAGCTTGAAGCGTGAGGGTATTTCGAGAGCAGCCAGCAACTTATCCCATTTGCGCCTGAAAACACCAGGGCTCCCAGGAAAGGTCGACAACGACGTGTTGGACTCGGGCTCCTCGTCCTCTCGTTTCGGGTTCCTTGAGAAGCAGGTAGTAGCGAAAATCCTGTTGCAAGAGGTCCCTCTGGGAGTGAGGAGGTCCTTCCTCCTCGCCCCAAGAATCTCTCCGATTCGGCAGCATCCCAAGAAGCACAGAAGAGTTGCACAAGCCCACTCATGCCAGCTCCACGAAATTGCTAGGCAGATCATTGCCCAAACAATAGGCTCCGGCATAGGCGTCGATGCAAAGTCGGCTCGAGCTTCTGCCACTTAGTGAGCAAAGTCCAGGCGGGCTTCAGACAGGCTTCGTCCGCGGCACCACGTGCTGGCAGTGAGCAAGAAGTTGTCGAAACTCTTGCAGCGATCGCCTCGAGTCATAGAGATGCTGACCATAACTCATCAGGACCTCGACGTCGGGAACCCTTGCCCTTGCCTTGCCTGCCGCATCCACCACGGCGGGGTCCAGGCGGTCTGCCTTCCAGGTGAAGTCTCTCCCACTCCTCCTGCACTCGCCCGGGCCACGTCCGCACGCACAGAGAGGAGCCCCATCCAGAAGCGCCTGCAGGTGACTCCAATCGGGTGAGCTTCCCAAGACTCTTCCCCGCCCGCAGTGCTCCGAGGCGATCGCGGCGCTCCTGAGAGCGAGATCCAAAGCCCAAGAAAGGCACATCTGGCTCCAGCACCCCATCCACAGCGAAATCGACGAACTCTTCCAGCGCCTGCTGGAGAATTCCCAGCCAAACTTTGAGATTGACGCCATGCCTGTAGCTGGCCGGGTCCTCCTCGGACGTGGCTAACACCTCGGCCAAAACCGTCCTCGTCAAAGCGGTCCGGGGAAGGTAGCGACGCCCAGCTGTCCGGTGCCATGCGGTCTGCCGCACCCCAACAAGGAAGGCGCCGTCGATCTCGGCTATCACCACTATAGAACATGAAACTGTAGGGCCGTCCGGGCTCCGATCTGAGGCCGAGCACCCTCCAAGGCGTGCTCGCGAAGGCGGTTCACCGTAGGGGTCCCTTCTCAGACCAACTCTTCACTCCCACCGTGACTGGACATCCAAACCTCCGCAAGGCCACGTCAAGTCGGCGGCCCGAAGGGCTTCGGCAACCTCGGCTTGAGTAGGAAGGCCAACAAAGATCGAGCGGCCTTTGTCAGGCCCTCGCAGGCAGAGCGCCTTGCAGGGCGCAAAGGATGAAAAGATGCACGGCTCGGCGAAGCGACGCCCCTGAAAATCGCTGAGAACCAAATAATGCCTGGAGCTCAAGTTGAGGGCGCTCCGACCAGAAGTGCGCAGGTGCCCTCCGTCCAGGGCCCGCCTCAGAAAATGCCCAACCTTGCGGGCAACGGATGTCCGGAACTGAGATGTAGGGGCTCCGGGATTTGCTCGAGAGCTGCCGTCGGGGGACAGGTGTCCTCGGCAAGATCGAAGGCCAGGGAGAGATCCACTCCACCTGATCCTGGCCGACAGGAAGGAGTGTGAGGAAGCTGTTGCGGCGGCTGGGTGACCTGGGAGAGCTGCACTCCTCCTGAACCAGGCACGGAAGATGCAGGAGGGCCCCGGGAGAGATAGACTCCACCTGATCCGGGGGAGCTAAGGGGAGCTTCCGCGGAAGCTCCAGGCAAGGGGTCCACGAACTCGAAGTCTTCCTGCTCAAGCAAAACGATCCGAGCCTCGAGCTGACGGAGCAGTTCCTGCGCAGCAGTGAGTTCACGCCTGAGGGACTTAAGCTCAAGGGATCTCCCACTCATTCAAGAACCCGGTACAACTCAGCCGTAGGAACCCTAACAGCTCGACAAACCACCCGCGGGAGGAGAAGTCGAAGCAGGAGGGCCAAATCCAACAAAGGCCAGAGGAGGAAGCCGAGGGCCACTCAAAAAACCAAAGAGGGCCAGTGAATTTGGAGGTTGTCGGAAGGAAAAGGTTTCAAATCCAAGCCCGTGAGGGTAAAAGGTTCCGTCTCCGGGGGAATAAGGACTTGCGAAGACGACCCCGAAAGAACGTCCTTAGCAACGGTCAAAAGAAAACCCGCAAGCCCTCCGGAAGCCCCGCCAGCAACCATAGGCAAGGGCCGCATCAACCTCCTCAATCCAAAAAGCTGCGAAACAGAGATGAACGTGAGTGTTATCGTCTTCGCCGGCGTCGTCATCTACAAGATCATTGTGCCTTCCTTCGTTTCCATGTCCCCGAGCAACCGATGTCAAGAAACCACAGTGTCGTTGTCTTTTGGTTTCACAAGTGCAATCGTGCTTGTTTGTATTCGTATATTCCTCCCCCTGTAAGTTTATGCTTTGTGTCAAGCACCCGTGTATCATATGCATAGTGAGTACCTAGGGCTTTCAGGCAATGCTGTGGAATGGAAGGGTTCTTTCGGACTCATTGAGTCATATTTGAGGGGTTCTTTCCGAATAAAGCCAAAACGCGCGAATCTTTGAGGCGGGGAAGCATATATATTTTTCTGTGTGTGTGCACTTACATACAAGGTTACATACTCGTTAATTGTATCTGTTCGTACATACTAACAGATAACTTAAAGCGTGTCCCTGCATGCCAAGAAGCGCCGGTGGGAGTCCTGCAGCTGCAGCTTGTTGGTACAACACGTGGGGTCGGCTCACTTGCTTACGACGTTGATTAGTGCCACTGCGACTGTTAAACCGTGAACACGAAGTAAAGTCCAGAGGCATGGTGACAGATGTGCTGGGCCAGAAATCTTCGGAATGATGCATGCACTCGGTTAGATCCAATACACCATGACCGAAGTACACACAAGGAGCCTCTGAACTGGGGTGCCATCAGCTGCGGATCGATTTGCCTTTGCCAGGCAATCCATGAGTCGAACAGATCAGCATCATTTGCAACAGGCTCGCATACGCCTTGCCTGCTTACAGGTGGCGTCCGAAAGCAATGTGGTCAGAGCGCTGGCACCAAAAAAATGAGTGAAGGCTACGCCCTCGCCCACCCATCCCCTCTCTCTCACTCCCTCTGTCTGCTCTACCAGCCTCGGCTACCGTAGTCACTACCGATAGGGCCTTCGACAGACATCCTCTTGCATGCCAAGAAGCGCCTGTAGGGGTCCTGCAGGTTTTCCACTATCAGGAAGTCATGGTGCAGTGGCGACATTAAACACATTTCGGGTCACCGAGCTTTCTCACGGCATTAGCTGCACTACTGCTCTTCCATACTGACAAGCATTACTTCAATGACACATGTGCCCTCTCAAGATCCAAGATCCGAAGAACGAGCAAGGTGCCTTTGAACTGGAATGTCACCAGTTGCAGATCGTTTTGCCTCTGCGAAGCATTCCGTGATCAACGCATGTCAATATCGATTTTCAACAACCCTCACATCTGTTATTCAAGCTTTAAATCAGAGAGACCAAGCATCAAGTCCACAACCGGACTGGGAAGTCACCACGACCCACAACGAGGTAGAGACAGCAAACAGCCATGCTACCAAAACTACACAGAGCGATCAGATTCCATATGGGGCTAGAGAGCCGTCGAACTGGTTGGGCAACCATGCGGCCCTTGGCGTTCCCGGCTCGCGGCCCGATGCCGTGTTCGGAGAACCCAAATCAACGTCCTCAGTAGAATGCTTCAGGCTAAGTCAGGTTCGTGATTTTGCGGAGCAAGACACGAAGTCTGACAAGCGAGAAGCTCCTCCCCAAACTAGCCACACTGTCTCAAGATGTCTCAAGGGCCTTCAAACAAGCATTTCGTGAGCATCCCGGACTACCTCACAACAAACTCCTATCATGGCGGCGACATGCATGAGCGCACAGATGATACTTCCGTCTTCAAGCATTGCAGACCGGTGCTTCGGCGCAGTGCAACAATGTGACCGGACGCAGTGGACTGTGAAAGTTGCCATTGTCACTAAACTTAGCTCAGTCGCGCTCAGGGTGGGAGATGCCCTGCTTCCGGGACGGGAGGCCTCCAAATCCGCGCCCTCGGTACAGACACGCATGGGATGCTAGCGAAACAGCGAGACTGGATAGGATAAACTCAAGTTGTTGCGAAGTGCAGCAGTCTGAATTCAACGCATGTGGACTCAGCTCTGGTCCACCTCCAGGTGACAGCAGGTTCTTTCGATGGCTTTGCAAGAGGGCGTCGTAAGCTTTGTTTGCTTGATTGATGTCCTCGCATAACCTTTGAAAGGCCTTCGTGGCTTGCAGATTGTTAACGGGCAAACAGATACAGAGCTACAATTACATCACATTTGGAAAACATATCTCTGGCTTGGATCCATGCTTTGCGGGTTGCGGAGCTTGGCTTAGTTTTCTTGAGAAGGCCATTCAAGGCAGATTGCAGTTTAAATTTCAATGAGATCTGAAACAAGGACTGTCCAACCACACAGAGCACGCACATCAATAGTCGGTTGTCAGGTTGCCCGTTAATCCTCTGCCAACAGCCTCCGACAAGCCGTGTCAGCTTTTATTGAACTCAGCGACTTGATTGTCGCGTGCCTGGTGCCACTCACTGCAAGCACCAACCTTCCGAAACACGCCTCGCAGCAGATTCAGCCTAGCGTCGTTCATGGAGTGAGTCTTTTTCCTGGGAGATGCACTGCTTCCCGGCCGTGTGGGAAGTGGGGGATTGGACCTCCAGCGTCCGCAGACTGTGGGATATCACGAGTGCATGCAGAGCAGTGCCTTCGAGACAGCGTCCGGCCCATGCTGCTGCCTGCAGCTGCGCGGCACGTCAGCAACGTCCAAGAAATGTCAGAAGAATTTCTGGCCATAAACTTAGAATGACTTAGAAGCCAAGTCGCCAGGGCGCGGACTGGCACCACCTGGTCCAGGCTTCGGAGTTTTGCAGGATAGCCTTTCATGGTTTGGGGAAGGGACCTGACATCTCCAGGCGGAGCTTCTGCAGAGTTCTGGTTCAGGAGTTGTCGCGAGGAGTAGGATGGATGGAGCGAATCTGGGATTCGTGCATACAGCCGCCCAGTCTCGACTCGAGGATGGCTGGATTTCGACTCGCATGCTCGGCACTGCCAGACGGGAAAAGTACGATGATCGGTCCAGTCTCAACTAACTCTCGCACTAGGCCTGATGCCTGCACAGCAAACTGGCATTCAGCATTCCATGTCGCTCCAATCCAAGCCCTTCCGTAGAGATTCCACAAGTTGTCGCATCGCATCATGCAACACATCTGGAAAGAGTGGCTCTGTGTATCCGTATTGCGAGGCCAGGCTCGCAGGGACTTGCCGGCAAACAGACCACGCCTTGACGAGATGGCTGCCGCGACATGAGACGGTCGTCCTGAAGCTTGGGGCTTGCAACATCTTTCAACACGGCTTTCATCTTTCCTTGTACAAATAAAAAAGTGTATATACAAAAATGTATGATGCAGGGCTGCCATGCCCCCCCTCCCCTCCT